ACATTAGTGATGATAATAGTAATGGACAATTTTTGCTCCTTGCCTCAACCTCAGATCAGACTATGGAGATAAGTCCAAAAACCATGGTTGTCAACTGGCTTCATCTGACATCACTGAGCTTTGTCAAAGCTTGATTCCATAAGCTTCCAGCATTAAAATCAGAGGCAGTATTTTTCTTCCTTGTTTTTAAATTATCTGCACAAGTCCCTCAGAAGCCTGGAATTAAATTAATAACACTATCCCAGGCATCCTTCAAGCACACTAGACTTAAGAACCACTTATAAAATTATTTTGCCTTTCAACTTTATACATTGGAGAGAAAAGAAGTGCAGAGAAATTGGAGGTGGGAGGCAGGTGGGAATGGGCTGCAGGGGAGGTCAGAGGTAAAATTTTCTAACCTTCAACCATTGCACCTGTGCCCTGTTCTCTAAAGAATTCTCCTGTCCTAGGCTGGGGCTGCTTTCAGCACAACTGTTAGCTGCTGTGAATGATGGCAATTCAAATTATGTTTCACTTATGGAAATTCTCCGGAGCAGTTGCCCCCATACCCAACTCAGAATCTGCTATCACTCAGCAGGATCAACATCCCAGCTTCAGGGCAGTCATGGCAGTCTGGCCTGAAAACAGCAATTGCATTTGGCAGACGATTCTGAAAACCACATATGGACATTTTTTAAAATTAATTTTAGTCTACTATGATGAATTACTGGGCTTTCTCCTTGTCCATAGTAGACAACTCATTCTTTTACCCAGAAGAAAATGGAACCATGTGTTAGCTGCAGTTTATGGCTGAAGGAAATAGGTGATTCTCACCATCAAACCAGATCATCAGAAGTTGAGAGGCACTGAGATCACACCCAAACCATCCCCTTCCATGGCAAAGAGAATGATCCTCAAAATACCCCTGAGAGGTGTTCTTGCTTCACCCCCCAGGCAGTCTAAACCCTGACTCAGCCCTCACAAATTGCTTCTCTCACACATCACATAACCCAAGCCCTCCCTGTTCTCATTCACAGGGCTTTCTTCTCTCTAGTTCTGGCCTAAGGGAAATTAAGAACTCCTTGCTCACAGACCTTTTAATATTTAAAGATTCTTATGTCACTGCTCAGCTCTGTCCTGCTGTGGGGTAGGGGAGAGGACCATATGTTACTGCTTTTTTGGCTTTTTCTGCTTTAATCTGCTTGGCCTTTATTTCTGATTACAGGCAGCCTTGGGTTTTTTTTTTTTTTTTTTTTTGGTGATGTTTTTATTAGTGCATTATAGGTACATGTAACAGTGGGTTTATTTTAACATAATCATACATGTATGGAATATAATTTGCTCCATTTCAGTCCCCTCCTCCCACCCCTTTCCCTTCCTCTACTCTGTGGTCTTCCTTCTGTTTATTTAGGTGCTCTTTTTTTTTAAATCGGTGCTTTATAAATATACATGAAGGTGTGCCTGCCTTTTCCTGTCCCTTCTCCCTCCTCATTTATCCCCCTCTCTGCTCCACTAATCTCCCTTCTATTTCCTTGGGACTCTCGCCCCCCGCCTTTCCCTTGTTTTATTCTAGTTTCCATGTATGAGAGAAAACATTTAATCCTTGACTTTCTGAGTCTGGCTTGTTTCATTTAGCATGATGCCCTTCCGTTCCATCCATTTACCAGCAAATGACATAATTTCATTTTTCCCTATGGCAGCCTTGTTTTTATCAGAATGGATTAAGACTATAAATTATATTGGGGTAGACAACTAGAATAGCATGGTTTATTTTATTTTTTTTACAAATTCTAACAATAAGTATTGGGTCCCAATTTAGCTGAAACAGGTGATATTTTAAAATTAAAATCAATTTTTCTAAACACCACCTAAAAATCAGAAATGCAAGACCTTGACTTCGTGATCTGTCCTAATCTGACATTGAGCTTTGTTGAAACTTCATTCCAGAATAGGCATCCAGAACTAGTCTTCCAAAGTGACCCCAGAATTAAGTTCATGAAGCACCCATCATTTTTAGCTGTTGTTTCTTTGTGATATCTCACTGGTGGGTAACCATAAAGGGAGTTGTCCTTTTAAAGACAGGGGCTTGACAGAAAGAAGTTGCCAAGGATAACCCACCAAGACTGCCACAGAACCACAACTAGAATGTGTCTTCTGGCCTTCAGCACTGAATTATTTACATAAAATATCCTTCTAGAATCTAACACTTCACATTGATTACATTTTAACTCACATTAGAGATGTAAGGACACTGGTTTTCGCTGTTTTGTGTTCTCAATACCAAACGTTTACTAGAATTATACCACCACTGTGGTTATTAAAACAAGAAACGAAATACTGTCAATATGTCTGGGGAGACTATCTGCAAACTTTCACAAGTTCTATGCCTTAGACAAAACTTCCTCTGATGTTCAAGAAGAATAACATGTCCAGAACAAGCCCTGAGAACAAAGCCCATCTTACTTACAGGTGGACAGAATCATGGCTGTCCTTCTGCAGGGGCACATAAACCGTCCTCAGTCCTTCAGCCACGCTCCACGCACAAAAACACATCTTTAAACTGAAATCATAGTTTACCCAAGACGATTCTCAGCAGCAAAGTTAACCCCACCTATTTTCCTGTTCTAAAAACCTCAAAGTCTGTGAATGACAATCTAATGGCCTACATAAGAAAGTTCACAGATCTGCATCCAGATCTATGAGGGTGGTTGCTATTACTTCCTCATTCCCATATGTGTGGGTGAGTCTAGCAAACAACATTTTCAAGAAATCACAAAATTTTAGTAAAAGGCACCTTAAAAATCCTTAAGTCTAATTGCCCTCTGTAGACAGAGAAGGAAATAAAGAACAGACGAGGAAGGAACTTGCCCAAGGCCCCAGGAAGTGGTAAAAACAGAACAGGATTCCAGGTTTTGGAATATGAATATGAAGGTTTTGTCCTCTGACTTAGGATTGACACTTCTGGGACTTTGGGGAGAAGGAGAAAATCCAATGATACACTTAAAACATGACTGAGGTCTGGCCAAAAACCATGAAAACAACATCAATAATGCAAATTACATTGGGGAGTTTTGCTTCCTCTCACTGGAAAATATAACCAAAAATTAACTAATTAAGGGATCAACTTTAATGAGGACTCAGTATATTCTCAGGCTATTTCCTGCCTCACAGAGTCAGATCTTTTGGCATTCTGGGAGAATACTTCTACTTTTTACTTTGTTTTTGGCCTTAGCAATGCTTTCATATAAAGCTTTTTTAAAGTTTTAGTGAAGAAAATGTTACAAGTGTTGCCAGTTATCATCTATCTTGTTTTTTCCTAACATTCATGATGATTAGGACAGGAACGAGACCTTCTCCTGATCCTCTTCCCCACCATCTGTTCTTCCCACAGCTCCACAAGGTGAAAAGGAAAAACTGGGGGCGGGAGAGGAAAGATGTAAAGGAGGAAAGTATGACAGTCACTCTAAGGTCTAGCTCACACATGACCCACTCCTTGAATGAGCTACAAGTCAGTCAAAAGTGTGCATGTTGCCAGGGGTAGCGGTGTACACCTGTAATCCCTGCAATTTGGAAAGCTGAGGCAGGAGCCTCACAAGTTCAAGGCCAGCCTGGGAAACTCAGCAAGACTCTGTCTCAAAATAAAAAAATAAAAAGTTTTGGTGATGTGGCTCAGTGATTAGAGTCCCCCTGGGTTCAATCCCCAGTATCTCAAAAAGAAAAAGTGTGCATGCTATTGTGAAAGGGAGGGGAAAATGAGGAGGAATGTGGCAGATTCTGACAAGAACTGGGATATTTTGACTTTTTTTCTATTATAAAGGTTTTAGTGAAGGAATGAACCCAGCCTTTGGCAGATGGGCTGCTGGTACATAAAACCCAAACCAAAGACATGGTTCTCCTTATGGCAGCCTTGTATTTATCAGAATGGATTAAGACTATAAATTATATTTGGGTAGACAACTAGAACAGCATGGTTTTTGTTTTGTTTTGTTTTTTACAAAATCTAGCAATAAGTATTGGGTGAAGATGCAGCTCAGAGCAACTATCTCTGGCCTATCACCAAACATGCCACACTGCAGGACAGATCATGGCAGTCCTGAGAGGAAGGAGCTCCTAGAGGAAGATCCAAGTCTTCCTCAGCCTTGTGCCCAATAAATATCAACAATATGTTGGGCAATAAATGCACTCTGCTGTTGGTGACCCAGATGATTTCTTTTCCCTGGACTCATGAAGAAAAAGGATGGCTCTAACTCAATTGGTGTCTTAGATGTTGTAAGGGTGAGAAACCCACCAGAACAAGCCGGAGAGAAGGTCCATTGTGAGGCTGTACAGACAGCCTCACTGATCCGAGAACCCAAGACCAGCCGGGCCTCCTGAGGTTCTCAAAAAGCCATCTCTCCATTTGCCTCAGTAGCTCCCTGGACTTTTTGCCACAACCTGAGTTGTTCCTGGGTTGTGCTTGAGATGGGGACAGCCTTTGTTACCAACATTACCTAATCTGTCTGCTCCAGAGCCCAGCATCTCCAATTAGAGCAACAATGCCCTGGGGCAGATTCTTACGATTTAGGAACTAACTGATTCTCTGGATCAAATATTCCACAGATTAGCTGTGGCTACCATAGGCAGGATCCTATAGTCCCAAGACAGGTCCTACTGGGGCCTATGCTAGACAGGCATCCCCAGCTTATTTACTTGAAGAAGAGCATTAGCAACAAAAGGACCCACACTTTCTTCTCTTCAGTAAGGAATATTTGATCCCCAGGAAAGGAATTGACAGCTGTCATATATAGTCCCTAAAACAGGGAGCTTATATATTACAGAATTAAAAGTTTCAATTAAAAGACAACTCATGTTTCTTATAAATATATAACTTTATATATTATATGTATTTACAATATATACAGAATACAAGTATTTTTAAATGTAATACTAGGAACACTCTTGAAAACAGTTGTTTTCAAAAAAAGATGGGTACTTATCCAAGGTGGGCTCCTGATTCATCTAGAACGTAACTCTACACAATGTCCCAGGCCTCTATTTCCGCAGAAATCACAGAGAAGTGAAGGGTTGCTGGAACATGGGTCTAGTACTGTTCCCCTTCCCCCAAACCTTGGCTTTCTACTGGCACTACCCAACATGGTTCCATGCACACCCCTAAAATGGGCAAACCCCAGGGCCTGAGCATAGTGTCTGGAACTCAAGTTCGGGAGAAATAAGAAGTGGGTGCCTTGAATCACCAGCTCTAAGGCAGCATCTTCACAACTGGGTAAACTCAGTCACAGAGCCAAGGTTGGTATAGAAGCAAATGCCTTAGCTGTGTATACGTAAAACGTCTACACAACCAGGTTCCAAATAAGTTATGCACCAAGTGCCATTTCCTTTTCATGCTTTGGAATCTTGGAGCCACTGGTCACAACACCACTTATCTTCCAAAAGTTTCTTCACATTCAACCAATTCATCTATGGTGTGCAGCAAATCTTCAAATGAAGGCCTCCCCTCTGGTTTCTACAATTAAAAGTCAAAGAGAAGCTGTCGGTTCCAGAATCCACTCCCAAGAAAAGTTTCATTGCTCAAACTCCTAAATCTAACTCACTACAAAGAGGCATTTGTGGCTTTGGCCCTGGAGAGTGCAGACATCTCCCAATAGTCTGTCTCTGCCCATGTCTCATGACCATGCATGTCCACCCTAGGTGACCCTGCATGTCCACCCCAGTTGACCACATGCAATTGCTGCTAGACTAACCTTTCCAAAGCTGTTTTCAGGTCCCTGTTCAAAGACCTACTAGAGCTCTGCAGAGCCTACAAAATTAAGTCCTGTTAATTTGCAGAGCCCTCTATAACCTGTCCCTCCTCAGGCCCCTTATCACCCAATTTCATTTCCCATGAACATCCTCACATGGGTTCTCTGCTAAATCAGACTAATTTCCACCCTCATGTTCACAGCATGTTTATAACCACCCCCTTACCTTTGTTCGTGCTGTTCTCTTTCCCCCTAGTACCACTTCCTGCCTAGCGGGTCTCTCTACCTGACCCAATCAGGATTCTTGGGAGGTTACAGCCGGGGATTGGAAACCTGGGCTTTGGAGTCAGGAGAGCCTCTGCTGCTCTGTAGCTAGTTGGCCTTGAGCAAGCATCAACCTCCGGAGCCTTAATCTTCTCATCTATAAAGTGGTCACAGGAGAAATATCTCCACCTCAAAGAGTACTTTGAGAACTAAATCTAAAGCACTCAGCACAGTGCCTAGTACACAAGGCACGTGAGCTACTATCATTGTCTTTCAAAAACCACTTGGCACATAATCTTTCTGTGAGATGATATTTCGGTCCTTCCAGAGACTAAGCAAAGAGACCTGGGGAAGCTGAGGTTTAGAGGAAGAAACCTCTTTTGGTAGAAGAGTAATATTTGAAACCCAAAAGTAAGCCACAGAAAGGAAGCGAGCAACTTCTCCAGGCATATTTTTTTTTTGTCTATGGCTCAGGCAACTGTGGCAAGATTCCCCCGTGGGAGCGAGGCAGCAGTCTGAGCATATGCAGTTCATTACTAGTATTTCCACTTCACATTCTTCCTCTGATTATTCAGAACCAAGTTGAGAGGGTTGGCGTCCTACCTAGCTAGAGTTTGAAATCACTATAAAACATGCACTGCCTACCTGGGCCTTCACATTATCCAGCTACTAAGTCCAACCCCTAAATGTTTCAGAGATTCCCTAAGAGAACACAAAAGAAATATCTATACCTCCTGCCAACATCTCAGCATCACCTCATATACATATAGGGATGCCAACTTCGGCCGGTAGAGTCGGTGGCCTCGAGTAACCATGGTTACCACTTCATAGTTGGTGTTCTTTTCAAAGGGCATTCTGCCTTCAGTGAATATCTCCCACATCAAAACACCTGGGGAAGGATAAGCGTTAGTCCATGATGTGTCCACTTCCTCCCCAGAGCAGAAGCAATGTGGAGCACGGCTCTTACCAAATGACCACACATCTGATTTGCTGCTGAAGCGGCTGTAATTGAACACTTCGGGTGGACACCATTTCACGGGGAATTTAGCACCAGAAGAACTTGTGTACTGATCATCCAGAACATACCTAGAGTAAGACACATCGTGGGTTTACACCTCTGAAGTACGATCTTTGTTTCGTATGTGTGCTTTCGTTTTTACCCCCTTAGAATAAAAAAACACACTTGATTGAAGTCTATAAGCATCCGGTTGAAGCTAAAGGTTCACCTCGGTGACCACACCTAGTGATTTCCATCTTCTTCAGCGTAATTTAAGGGGATGAGAGGGGTATATCACAACATCAGTACCTGAACTTTCATTTTTCTGTTCATCTTTCTGTTTTATTAGGCAACAGAGGCGGAACACAATAGAATAGTTTGAAAACTTTTTGGTAAGCAGTTTTGTTCTTTAAACAAAATTTTACTCAAAGGCCCCATATGTGAAAGATCTAAAGCAGAGCTGTTCTAAAGGAAGTGGTGAAAAGTCTCTAGAGACACATGTTTTGAGCCCCCATAATTCCACAGAACACAGTTTAAAACTGCAGCATGTGAAAAAAAAAAAAAAGAAAAATGAAGTATATAAATGGTGGCATGTATATTTATTTTATTCAAATATTTTTGGTACCAGGAATCGAACCCAGGGGCTCTTAACCACTAAAAGCCACACCCCAGCCCTATTTATTTATTTGTTTGTTTGTTTGTTTGGAAACAAGGTCTTGCTAAATTGCTTAGAGCTCCACTAAGTAGCTGAGGCTGGCTTTGAACTTGCAATCCTCCTGCCTCAGCCTCCTGAAGCTCTGAGATTATAGGTGTGTACCACTATGCCCACTATGTATGTTTATATACCATGACATCCCCACATGCACACATACTCAAAACAACACCATATTATTATTCTATGTGAACACAGTTATGCCCTTCTGGAAGGACATATAGCAATGGTAACAGTAGCTGCTTCTGGGGTGAATAGCTGACTAGAGGTGGTAGATGTGAGAACTTCATCCTTTGCTATAATATGTTCAGTACATATTTATATGTATTTATAGGTTACATGTACATATAAAGTTGATTTCTAAAATCTGTCATGAGGAAATATTCGAATAAAAGAACAAACTTTCTTTGTGCAACTATACAGATAAAGATGGTAGCTAGAAACGATGCCACTATGGGCTGGATCAAATCATGTCAGGGGAATCAGGGTTTAGTGAATAAAGATTGTTTCACAGAGGTTGATATAAAAGCAAAGATATTCTGAAGCTCAGACATATGAAAGTGGAGGACGCCCATCAGATGTTAAACATCTTTATGCAAAGCAAATAGAGAACGCTTAACACCTCGAGAGTCAGAAGCTGATGGCAACATCTTTCTAACCTCCCTAGGCCTGAGTTTCCTTAGGAGCTAACCTTGGTCCCGACCGTGGCCTCACAGCACCTGGCCTTGCCTGCCATTTTAACTGTTCCTAGCACTGCCTATGGGCCACCTTCCTTGGCCCTCTTCCAGTTCCCCAAGTTGGCCAAGTTCATCCCGGACCTCAAGCTCTGGCACTTGTTCCTTCCACCTGGAATATTTTATGCCCAGATTTTCACCTAACTGGTCACTTCCTGCCTTTTGGTCTCCACTCACTATCCCCATCTCAGAGAGGCCTTCCCAGTCAGCTGATCTAAAGCAGCTTCCCTCACCTCTGCTCTACCCCAAGTTATCTCTCGAGGGGTCCACAGACTTTTTCTGAAGATGGACAGTTATTTGAGCACCCAAATGCTTTGGGTTTCACAGTCCATATAGTCCCTGTCACAACTCCCAGCTGTGCCTCTGCAGGGCGAGACCAGTGACAGATGACACATCAACAAAGAAATGAGGCTCTGCCTCGATAACACTATTTATATGGACACCGACTTTGGAATTTCAGATAATTGTCAGGTTTCAATACTCTTTGAATTTTTTTCTAGCCATTTAAAAATATAAAAGCCATTCTTGGTTTACACACACAGAAAAGTGTAGGTCAGACTGACTGACAGGCTGTCATTTGCTGACCCCTGCTCTATCACACAAATTATTCTCAGATCTTGCGTTTTCCTTCCTCTAGAACATGAGCTGTATGTGGCTTAGTCTCTGCTTTGGTTCATACACCTGTGTCCGGCATGTACATAGCAGGCACCTAATTTTTATGAACAGATCAAAGAATAGAGGGAAGGAGAGAAGATAAACAATATACTTTCAAAAAATATTTTCTACACTCTATTATAATTACAAATATTAAGACAATAAAAACGCTGCAGATGTGGAGATACTAAGTGCTGGACCACAAAACATGTTCTGGTGAAAACAAATCTAGAAATCTAATCCACGTGCAGGAGAAGAGCTGTATATTTAAAGGGCTATACTACCACCTAGTGGAGAGAACTATTAACACCACAATGTAGAGTTTTTTCAATGTATTTCTTTCTGTCTCATCGGTGCAAATTACTCCTACACGTATTAATTCTATAACATAAAGTGAACATCACTTAAAAACACATATACTAAGACCTACCTGGCCATTCCAAAATCAGACACTTTCACAGCTCCTGCCTCATTTACTAGACAGTTTCTGGCAGCCTGGAAAACATTATGATGATATATTTGTTAAAAATTTACACCCAAAAAATGCAGAAAAATAAAAGTCCTGTCACATTAAATTTATTATATGCCAGTCAACATTTGTATAGGGTGGAAATGTGTCATTATAAATCATTTTTAGCCCTATAGAAATGTCTCCAATGTATAACATTTTTTTAAGTAAAAAGGTCAAAAAAACATATTTGCAATAAGGTATTATGACAGTGTCTTTACCAATGACCACGCTTAAATAAAGATCAATAGATGGGACGACCCTCTTTCCCCACCTCCTAGTCTTATTAAATAGTGTGATTTTCTTACTGATAATGACAATATTTCTTGCTTTCCCCACGATAAGGTCTGTAGACAAGTGTAATCTGACACATTCTTGAAGATATTCTACTTTTATTAGTTTTTTAAGTACAAAAAAGAGCAATGTACTGTTTCAATATGACTGAGAAATATTCTGTTATCACTGAGCATAATAACCAACACTAATGTTGTACATCACATCCACTTTTAATCCCTTTGCCTCTATTATACACTGACCTTTAAAATAGTCTTGTGAGAAAAAAAAAAACCACAATTTATTGCTGTGGAAACAGGGTCTGGGGCTCAGAGAGATTAGGCAACTATCCCAAAATACACTGTGGAAATCAAGTTTTCCAACTCCAAATCCCAAATTCTCTATTACACATTAAATCTAGAGATACTGTCGCACAGTGGTTAGAATACTGACTCCGGTCAAAACCTCAAGTTCAAAACTGCCTTCACAGTTTATTTGACTATTGAGGTATTTGCACCTCTATTTTCCCATCTGCAAAATAGCAATAATAACAGTACTACTTCCTAGGATTATTATGATGATTAAATGAGGGATTTTTTTCCCATGTGTGTGTGTGTGAAGTAATTATTAGAACAAGGCCTCTTTAAGGTGACTGTTAAATTTTTAAAAATGCCTTTCTGCTTCTCTAGAAGAAATGTGTCCATACTTTATCACAAAAAAAAAGCTAGAACTAAAATATGACGGAAAGTCCTACATGCAAATCACTTTTATTTTGGTGAAAGAGTCAAAGTAGAGTGATAGTGTGACTGATATGTTGAAAACAGACACATTTGTGAAAACAGGTGGAAAATAAAAATGGAAGGAAAAGAAGAATGAAAAAAAAAGAGAGAGAAAGTAGAATAAGAAAGGAAAAGTTAAGGAGCGACTTTAGAACTAGTAATAGGTTTTCTTTTCTGGTCTTGTCAGAGGTTAACACATTGGATAAAGGAAGTGAACTAAGAGATTTCTCTGATAGTTTCTGTTTACAGTGTGTGAGGTGGAAAAGAACTTAGGATTTAGCCAGAAGGTCAAGGCCAACCCTAGCTTTTCTGTTTAACCACATTAGGCAAGGTTTTCACTTCCCTGAAGCTAACTTTCTTATTACAAAACAGTGAGGGTAATAAATCTGTTCTGACTTGCTATCTCATGGAACTCTAACAGAGATCTAATATTTAACGCACAGAAACTTACCCAGAGATATCAACTCCATAAATTATTAGATTATCTTTCCTTTAAAATTATGCAAATAAAATCTATCAGGTTCATTATTATGAACAAAAATTGGATACTAATAACATCATTGCTTATTGTTTCACCCACTGTTACAAAGCAATCAGGCCCGTGAATGGGAATACAGTGACTCGTGGTTACCAGGTCTCTGTGGATGAAGCTGTTCCTCTCCAGGTACTCCATCCCTTCACACACATCCTGACACATGCTCAGCAGGATGTCTCTACTGAAATGGCCTTGTCTCTGTCGGAGGAAATTCAGAAGGCAGCCCCGTTCCATGAACTCAGTAACAATGTAAAGCGGTTTCTGCTGGGTGCATACACCATACAGCTGCACCAACTTGGGGTGTGTCAGTTTCCTGGGAGTGAAGACATACATACACAGAGTTACAACAGGAAAAGAAACCAGCAGGTGTATTAGCTGAGGAAGAGCCACTTTCTAACACAAACAGGGAGCCTGGCAGGAGAGAGTAACTTACATCATAACTTTAGCTTCTTCTATAAAGTCCTCCTCACACATGGCGCCTTCCCGAATGGCTTTGATGGCTACTTTGTACTGGGCTCGCCACTTGCCAAGCCTCACCACTCCAAATAGTCCACTCCCCAGTTCCCTCATAAAGGTCAGCTCTGAAGGGTTAATCTCCCACTTCTCTGCAAGACAGAAGGGAAAAGTGAGAGCACTTAATAAAGAGAACACAGCATGAATCCGTGTTGAAAAGAAACTGTAACCAAGATCTGCCTCCAAGTCCTAGGATAATGGCAATCTGTCTAGACAGCACAAAGTGGCTCTCCACCCTCTGGGGAGAATGTTCCTGCTTGGCCATCACTATACAAGCAAAGTGAACTGAAGAATCAAGATGCTGCATAACAGGAAAATAACATAGCTGAAGATTAAGGTACTTTTTTGAAGACAAATACTTCCTCACTTACCAGTCTTCCCTCTGGATTTTTTTTTTTTTCTCTTTTAGGTCCATCAAGTTAAAAAAAAAAAATTTAAACCTGCTCTTTAAAAGGCTTTTTCCAGAAGCAACAAAAAACAATTCCATTGGAAGAGTTCTCCATTACCTCTAACCTTACATCCCTGAGAGTAATCAACAGCAGTGAGAACCAGGAAGGGCTATGATTTATATTAGATATAACAGGATAATGTTTATTTTTCACCAACAGAAACTTTTCCATTGAATTACAAACAATCATGAAAATAGGAAATCTAGGGTTATTATAGTTATAAAATAGAATCATCTAAAACCTCAGAGTACAAATTTATAAGAATGGTTCCACTATTAGGAATTCTACACATCTAAATTTGTCTTGTGATAGTGGATTCTTTTCATGGAAAATTAGCTGATACAACTACAAAATGAGGGTTACCATAGCTGAATCCCGCAGTGGTTGGGGCATCCTTCCCCTTTGTACCAACTGGGTACCGCAGCCTTGTGACGAGTCCTAGAAATCAAAGAAAGCATCACAGGTGAAATCGCTCTTAGCCACTCCACATGACCAAAGGCTAATCTAGAAATGTACAATTCATTCGTTTATAAATGTACTGCTCTCCCTCTGCATATACACATAGCTCTATGCCATAGGCTTTCATTCATTCCACAATCTCCTTCTAAATATTAGTGTGTATCAGGCACTGTGCTAGCTTCCTCACAAACATTTTAAATGATATTAAAAGGTTTCTGTTAGTATTTCATGTTCCTTTCCAATATGAAAGCTGAACTAGGAAAGAGAATTATACTGAGCTGCTAAAAATTAAAGTGATTCCCCTGATATAACTCAATGCTGGCAATCTTAGCATAAAAATAGGCTGAAAAGATTAACCACTGGGAATATCAACTGTTGGAAATCAGGAAAGTAAGTTAAATCTTTTAACCTAAGTTGCTTTTAGCACTAAATAAGAAATAGGAGGTGCCTTTCCATCAACACCAAAAGCACTCTGTATTTGCTCTTTTATAGCACATTTCACAGTAATTTAAAGTGGTTATGTATATCTATCTCCTCTCAGGGGATAAAATCTGGGAGAATCAGAATCAATGATTATCTGATCCATAGCACGCTCCCCAAAACTTGGCTTGGCTTCTAGCATGCAGTAGACACTAAATACATGTTTGTTGAATGAGTTGAGATAGTGATTAAAAAGTAAAACTTACAAAAGAAAAAAATAGAGGAATGGGAACACCAATAAGAAACAGAACAAACAGATAAATTATTTGGGAATAAGTCAATATGAATGAGCTCCTCAAATGTTAAACACAGGATTGCTACATGACTTAGCAAGTCCACTCCATGTAAATACCCAAGAGAAATAAAGACATATTTTCATGTATACACTTGTACACAACTATTCACACCAGCTTTATTCATGAAAAATGTAGAAGCAACCCAAATGTTATTAGATTTAATAATTATATTTCCTTTAAAATTATGCAAAGGAAATCTATCAGATGAAAAATAAATAAATAAAATCCATATGATGGATTATTTTTCATCAATAAAAAAGAATTGATATCTTATCCAGCAGGCTGCCTGAATTTAGAAATTCCATATTCCCCAGGACCTCTTTCCTGTTACATGTCAGATCTCAGCAGAATATACAAGCCAATTTCCAAGGACATGTGTAGCAAGTCCATCAGGCAGAAAATGTTATCAGGTATTTATGTTGGCCAGAATCCCTACTGATACCTCAGCAATTTTTCTCCTATCCTCATGACTTCAGTCTGTGCATACCCAGGCTGTGTGTTGGTTTCCATAAGCAAATAAGATATGACTTTCTATCACAACAGGTGAGTGCTAACATAACTCCCCAGATTTGGAATTAGAGGGGTGGATCCTCTATCTCACCATTGACCATTATTACACTGAAGTTAAAACTTTTATTGAAGAGATAAAGGTAGACTTGTATGTTGGCCTGAGAACCTATATATTACACAAATATTGAGCTAGGCTCTGCATGGTGACTTGATAATTGGTAGAAGTTGTACAATTCCTATGTCTCTAGCCCTGTGCATTTTTATATTACCTGATTATTTGAACAAACTTGTGATAGTTTTTGTTTTATTTAAAGAATGGAAGTGGGCACAGTGGCACATGCCTGTAATCCCAGTAGCTCAGGAGGATGGAAGGTTCAAACTCAGCCTCAGCAACTTAGAGAGACCCTTAGCAACTTAGCAAGACCCTGTCCGAAAGTCAAAAATAAAAAGGGCTGGGAATGTAGGTCAATGGTTAAGCACCCCTGGGTTAAATCCCTGGTACCAAAAAAAAAAAAAAAAAAAAAAGAATACTTTCGCATGGTATAACATGGACAAACCTCAAAAACCTTATACTGTATCCAAGAAACAAGTCATAACAGAACACACATTGTATTCCATTTATGTTCAGCATAGGCTAATCCACAGAGACAGAAAGTAGGTTAGTGGTTGCCTGGGGCTGGGCTGGTGAAGGAGGGGTAATGGGTGATTTCTTTGGGGAATAATGACAATGTTCTTAAAATTAGATGATGGTGACAGCACAGCTCTGAAAACATACTAAGCGCCACTGAACTGTATACTTTAAATGGATGAGTTTTGTGGTATAGTAACTGTTCTTACCATTTTCTGAAAAAAGTAAATGGACTCACACAAAAACAACAAGTTTTACAAAGGGCCTTTGATGAAATTATAAAAGTTCACTTTCCATGCTTGTCTGTTCCCTGTTCAGTTACATCTTTAAAATCCAGGAGTAGAAATCATGCTGCATCAATCCCATAGAACCTCAATGGCATAAATGTAGTTTCCATTTGTATTTTTTTGGTGTTTGTTTTGTTCCCACTCTGGTGCTGAGTTTAGCAGAGATTCAGGAAGATAGAGAATTCATAGGATGTGATTACAGACAGTCTGCAACTTATGCAGGTTCAACTTAGAATTTTTCTCAACTTTATGATAGTGCAAAAATTATATCATTTCACTAGAAAGCATTCTTCAATTTCTGAATGTCTAGTGAATTTTGAATTTTGATCTTCTGGGCTAGCGATATACAAGAAGTTACTCTCTTACAATGATGGGAAGCTTCAGTGAGCCACAGCTCCCAGTCAACAGTGGACTCTCCACAGTTACTAAGCTATGTGTTTGGTAGGCGAAGTGGATTAAATGCACTTTTGACTTAGGATATTCTCAATTTACAGTGGGTTTATCAAATATAAATAAGGAAAGGAGTGTCTATCATCTACTCTTTGGAAGCCTACAGCATAGGATGAAATCCTGGTACATCTGGCAGCTCCTTCAGTGACTACAATATCTTTTTATGAGACAGGGTCTCACCATGTTGCCCTGGCTGGCTATGAACCCAAGTAAGTGATCCTCCTGCCCCAGCCTCCCAAGTAGCTAGAACTATAAGCACATGTGACCATGCTTGGCTTAAAACAGACATCTTTTTAGTTTAGTACTAATGATACAAAGCACAGAAATGTCAATACCATAATCCATCGAAATAACTCATGTCCTAATGTCAAGGTAGAACTTTTTATGAACCGTGATATTACTTCTGATTTTTCTTGGATATATCACTTCTTTAACATACGCTGATTTTATACCCATCACACTTTACAACTAACTAACTACAAAATAAAACTTCTCACAGAAGAATTCATTGGGATGTCTGATCATCTGCACCAATACCTAACATTTGAAATAAGTGTTAACAGGTCACTTACCTGCCGCATTGTGCTTGTGATATTCAATAATCTCAGGAATTGAACTAAAAGCATGCTTTTCCGCTAAGTAATACTTCTTTGGAGATGTTGTTGTTTCCTTTATGTGATAATGCCTGAAACCTGATGAACCTTCTCTATAAGGAAAATTGAAATGTGTTAAAACCAAGCTGGGATAACATAACTTCACTCTTCGATGTCTTCTATAGGTGAACCCCCAGCCTTTCTCTGTATGGCCCCTTCTATTCCTGGCATGAAGTTTATTTCTTTCTCCGTGTTCTTTAGCTTTTCCTTTCACATTAACAGGTGGAAGTTCTGCAAGTGGTCACTGATAACATACTTGGTCCCTTTCATGAGATTGAGAAAGATAACATTCCCCAGCTCCATTCAACAACAATTAAAAGTCTCAAAAAAGCCATCAGCGGCTACCACATTTTGTCCTTGCTGTTAGCATAAACTTGAGAATTTTCAGAACACTTGCACTTCCCATTTTTTTGTTGTTGTGGTTTGGTTTGGTTTGGGTTGGTTTAGTACTGGTGATTGAACCCAGAGGCACTTTACCACTGCAATACATCCCCAGCCCTTTTTAAAAATTTTTTATTCTACAATAGGGTCTCGCTAAGTTGCTAAGGCTAGCCTCAAACTTGTGATTCTCCTGCCTCAGCCTCCCAAGTCACTGGGATCCAGAGTACTTGCATTTCTAAAAGTAAATAAATTAGGCTTAAAAATGTACACACTCCACTTTAGATGTCTTTCTAGAATGCAGACCTTCTCTTGTCATCTCTTGATAAAAATGCTTTCAAGATAGTCCTGGACACTGACATGACCTGGCTTCAGCTTCTACCTCTCAGGTTTCTCTTCCTCCCTCTCTGGGTTTCTCCCTACAATCCAGCTACACACGCTGTTTCAGTTCTTTGAAATTCACCATATCCTCTCCCACCTCTGGGTCTGGACAGTACCCTGGGTCAGAAACACTCTGTCCCTTCCCTCCAGTGTTTTCCTGCCTTACCTATGAGGTCTCAACTTGAATTGAGGACAACAGATATGTCTTAGCTCTGTAACCCCAATACCCCCGGCCCCAATATCACCTTCCTGTCACAGTGCTTCCCCCACCCAGCCCTTTCGCTTGTCTACAGCCCCCACTGAGCCAGGAAGGAAGGAGGCCAAGTCTGCGCCTACTCTGCTCACAGAGGCATGCTCAGTGCTTAGCTCCGTGTACAATAATTATTTTTTTGAATGTTACTAAGGTTTCTATAGCCATGCGGAACAAATATACTTATGGAAAACTATGGGGTAAATTCCTGAAAATATAAAGGCCAAAAAAAAGGAGACTTTAGAAAAAACAGTTCAAGTTTTATTTTTTTTTTTTTTACTGTTGAATGCAGAATCTTTTTTTTTTTTTTGGAAATTAGGAATACATACAAAAATATAGGAAAATTCATATAAAACTCTACATTAAAAATTAATTAATTAGTTAATTAATTAAATGGAGCAGGATTACTCACCCTCCAAACTTTGTATAAAGGGAGACGGTGTACAAGCCTGGTTGACTGGAGTCCCTTACCATAAAAGCACCTTCTTTATCCTAAAATAAAAGTTAAGAAATTGCTTTTTTACTCTAATAACTAATATCAATGCCAAGGAAAAGATGTGAGAACCTGATCTTAAAATTTTATGAATATTATCCTTTATTGAGAAAATGTGCTCTGGAGAAGTGCAATTTACCAGTAGGGGTCCTTGGTTTCTCCCATCTACATGGCTTTCTACCTCACACTACTGAGCCATGAGACCAGTTAAAGAAAAGCATGCTCACAGTTCCCCACAACTGCAAATTCTCACACACACCAAGGCAGACATTTCAACCAGATCATTTCTCGGAACCCTTACAAAACTAACAGACAAGGTTTTGCAGAGCCTGTAAGTCCTGAACATGTGGGAAAACAGTCACTGAAAAAATGACTTGCTTGTCACACACGCCTGTGATCCCAGGGGCTGGGGAGGCTGAGGCAGGAGGATCACAAGTTGAAAGCCAGCATCAGCAACTTAGTGAGGCCCTAAGCAACTTAGCAAGACCCTGTCTCAAAATAAAAAATAAAAAGAAGGGCTAGGGATATTTCTTGGGAGTTAAGCACCTCTGGGTTCAGTCCTTGGTACAAAACAAAGAAAGAAAGGAGTGTTGCTTAACAATTAGATTTCATTTCATACATTTTTTTTCGTATTTGCTGTAAGCTTTGAATCCTGACTCAAATCATTTTCCATCCTCATAGCATTTTTCCTGTAAATAACTCATACTCTTTATAAGAATGTACTTAAATATTCTTAATTCTCCTGGAATTTCATGTTAAATGCCAATCTTTACAAAAGGAGAAATGAAAACACAAGTAACTAAATTGGAGAAAATCAAAAAGTCAGTAACAATTCTGAATGAATAAAGGACAAACCTTCAGCAGGTCCCAAGAGCAAGAAACAGAAGCTATGAACTTTAAAGTACTCTACCACTAATGCCATGTTCAATCTCTAGTATTTATGTTGCTCTAAGATGAAAAATGTGCTTAATAGTTGAAAAGTAAAATGAATTGTATTCTTTCTCTTTTAAGCCAGTTTCAAACCCAGGACCTTGTGCATGCATACTAAGCTACACTCCTTAATACCTTAAATTTTATTCTTAGAAAGACAATGGAATTAAATCAGGCCCCACAAATATTTCTCATTAGAACAATTAGGAACAATAATTATGGTAGTTAATTGATAAGTAAAAACATAATAGCTACCATTTATTTATCAAAAACCTATTCTGTTTTAACATGCCCTGATATGTAAATGCACTTAATCCAAACAGTCCTACTCCTGCTGTCCCCATCCATCTTCACATGTAAGGAAATGGGCATGGAAAGGTGGGTAACTTTCCTCACGTGAGAAAGTTCATAAGTAGTGAACCAGGATTTGGACCCCAGACCACCTAGCTACCACATCCCTAGAGCAGCCTCTCATCGTGGAGCCTCTAGGGAGACACATAACAATACTGCAGAAGTCCAGCATGATGGGGCATGCCGGTATTCCAGCATCTTGACAGGCTGAGGCAGGAGGATTGCAGGTTCAAAGCCAGCCTCAACAACTTATCGAGGCCCTAAGCAACTCAGCCAGACTGTCTCTAAATAAAACATAAAAAAAAGGGCTGAGGATATGGCTCAATGGTTGAGTGCCCCTGGCTTCAATCCCTGGTACCAAAACAAACAATCCTGTGGGGATGGGCATGGTTAGGTGGAACCCAAATGAGCAAAGCCACCTGCCACTGTTATTGCAGCACATACTACAGAAACAAGTGTTCAATAAAACCTTGACTGGAGAAAAAAAAAAACTGCTTAAAAGACCTGGAACTATTACTAAATAGAATAACTCTATGTGTTTAGATCATAAACACAGGGAATGGCAGGGGTCATCTTCTAACCCAACCTTCTTATCTTATGCAAAAAGTGGACTAGAAAAGCTACAGCTAAACTCAGGTCTCCTTCCTTAGCCTAGTACCATTTCATCTAGAGCATTCTTTTAGTTCTTTTTAAGATGTGAGAATTTAAGCACATTTATTTCTATAGGCAAATATTTTATTAAGCTTTCATTTATAAAGATTGTTAATATCAATGTGAATTATTCTAAAATGAATAGCTTCAAGAAAAAAAAGAAAAAGAAATGAAAAAACAATAAAATGCTGAAAAAGCAAGGTAGCAAATGATAAATCAGTATGAAAGAAAGAAAAAATTGCTCATGTACAGCTACTACCTCCTGTTATGGGTTTAATTGTATCCCTCTTCCCTGACAAAGAAGCTCCTAAGCTTCAGTATCTCAGAATGTGACCTTGTTTGGAGGCAAGGGTCTTTACAGAGGTCACTGAGTTTAAATGAAGTATTTATGGTCAGCTCTAATTCAACATGACTGGTGTCCTTATTAAAAGAGAACATTTGGATACAGAGGCAGACATGCACAGAGGGAAGTAACTGCCATTTCCAAGCCAAGGAGAGAGGCTTAGAAGAAATCCTCACCTCACAGCCCTCAGAAAGAACCAGCCCTCCTGGGACCTTACTTTTGACTTCCAGCCCCCAGAACCATGAGACACAGTTTCGTTGTTTAAGCCCCTCAGCTCGTGGCCCTCTGTTACTGAAGCCCAGTGTGCTAACACACAAATAATCTCTTTAAAATGATGTGGAAAAAAACATATTTATATCATAGACATTTTAGGCTTTAGAAACAACTGTGTGGGGCCATTTATTAGGGATTCATTAAAACTAAGCTGTACTGAGATCAAACCCATAAATAAGCACAAACAACTTACCTCAGTTCTGAGGAGTTGCTCTGCCTTGCTTCTATTTGTATTTCTGCAATACCATCTGAACAGAAAAAGATACACTTAAGGTCTCATATTATTTAAAATTATGTTTTTATTCTTAGTAGGATTAATTAGATAATAAAGCTCTCCAATAATAAATACAATAAGTAAAAACTAGGCAAGATATCACTCATAATCTAAATAGACAACCAGTAACATATTGATGTATATAGTTTCAGATATTTTTACCCATGTTTTTATGAAAACACACATCTATGCCTGCATTATTTTATTAAGGTGGGATCAAACTTTACTTGATACATCATAACATGAATTTGTCACATGACAGCTTGTAGCAATATAGTTCTATAAATCTTGATATGGATGTACCATAATTTATTTAAGGTATTCATTATACAATATGAAAAATCATCTGCAATTTTTTGCTGTTCCAGTCATAATGAGAATGGATTTTATTTCACTGATTCAAACTTGCAGACAATGTCAATTTACATTTTTGTCTTAAATTCAAATTAAATCTTATTCTAAGCTCCCAGCACACCAACATTGCAGATTCCATCCTAAGTCATTATGGTGGCTCTCTGTCAAATTTCATGAAGGTCTCAAGTGTCAACAGAAAAGAAGGAAAACCTAAGAGCAGGCCTTCTGGATTTTCCATACCTGCTGACTTCCAGAATCCTCAAGCCCTGGTGGTTGCCTGAGGCTGTACTAGAAAAATCCCTGTCTTGACCAAGTAGTCACTCCTGTCCTCCCACCAAGCCTAGCCACAACCCTGTGCCATGCCCCAAGGTCTTGCAGATCTATGCCCCTTCTTAACCTCTGAGAAACCTTTCTCTTCTTACTGTCATCTCCCACCCCATCCCTAGGGGTCCTCTCCCCTCCCTTCGTTCCCAGCACAATCCCTCTATACAACTATTAGCAAATGTTCAAAATAACATGAACCGAGATCATTTGGCCTTCAGTTTTAAATTTGTTTTATTAAATGATTTTTTTAGTTGGAAAGGAATCTTCCACCATAGTCAAATACCCTGAACTGAATGCTATGAAGTCAGCCTGGTCCTCCGGCCTTTGAAATTTTCACCACTGGATCAGGTTTTCCTAAAAGAACCAGCACCTGACTGGTCCAGCAAATACCCTGGGACAGTGAATACAAAGGCCTTCCCTGATTGAAGAAGGCAAAAATAGAAAGATAAAATACAAGACTTTTTTCTATCTGGATTCTTTTATACAGCAGCCAAACACAAATTGTAATCTCAATGTGAATTGAATGATGTTGGATATTTTATTTAGAATCTGAGGTGGTGAACAAGACCTCAGAATTGTCAACATCTCATTACTGTGGCTCTCCCTTTAAAAAATGAGACCAAGTGGAACAAAATTGCTATTTTGATAAATCCATTTCTGAATGCAAATGAGAAATACATAAACTAGGAGAACAGAATGAATTCTGTCCCTAAAGCTTTTCCACTCGTATGAGAAACATTTGTCAGATGCCAAAAGCAGTCACATAAATTAGCTAAAGAAAGATAACGGGAGCTCTAATACACAATATAAACTAATAGGGTGTGAGGGATTGGAAAAATTCTATTTATTAGTAACAGAAGATCCAGTTCCATGTCTTCACGGTGAGAATAAGTGATGGGGATTCACATGCAGGACATCAGGAAAGGTAAACTGTGGTTCTCAAAGGGAGACTAGACATAAAATACTCAGAGAAAGAGGGAGGCGCCTTCCTCATCTACTATATTCTAGCTCCTGGGAAGGAATTAAAGAAATAAGGAAAGGAAAGGGATTGGGCTCTTTGAACTCCTCTTCCAAAGGGTCAATTTTTATGCATTTATGCATTTGCAGGTTCTCTGAAAAGGATACTTTCATCCTTGGGATATGCTATCATTTGGCTCTGAATTGCCCTCTAAAGGCCCATGTGGAAAAGCTTGGTCCCCAGGATGGCACTGTTGGAGGTTGTGGAACCTTTGGGAGGGAGGCCTGATGAGCGATCCTTAGGCCATGGGGGCAATGCTCTTGAAGGGAATTGTGAGACCCTGGCCCCTTCTTCTTCCTTCCTTTGCTTTCTGCTCATTATGTAAGTAGTTTTGCTCTGCCGTGTGTTCCCACCATGATGTGCTGCCTCACCACAGGCCCAAGACAATGGGTCTAATCCATCATGAACTGGAACCTCCAGAACCCATGAGCCAAAATAAACCTTTTATCTTTATAAAATAATTGTCTCAGACATTTTCTCAGAGTAACATGAAGCTGACTAACATAGGATATAAACTCAGATCTTTCAGTGTATATTGAAGGAAGGAGAGAGGAAGGACTGATGATCAAATAAACAGGTGAATTAACTAGTGATATTTCCTAATACCTCTCCATGGCTTATCTCACCTCTCTTTCAATACCTATCCCCAAGCAAGGAGAAAAAGACCACAGGGGCTCTGCTGGGTCCATTCTGTCAGAAAGAGAGATATGCACCAGTAAAATGTAAAGGAGCCTATGTGACATGAGAAGACAGAGGTGCCATCCCACATAGCTCTTTCACAAGCCTGCCACAGAGATGTGTCATTTGAGATTAACACTTTTTGCTAAAGGGACTCTGCATCTGGAAATAATGCCCAGAATGTATAGGTAACATATCAACCTGTCCATGGACATCAAAACACTGATGTGAATTTTTCAAATTGGCTGGTCACCTCACAATATTCCAGAGAAATAGGACTTTGTAGCAGTGTCTGAATACAGGGAAAGAGGAGGTCTGAGGACATTCAGTCCTTTCTGGAAAGATCACACCCTGGTCAAGCTTTTAAGGGCAGAAATGTTATTTTATTTGTATAGTCATGCATCACTTAATGACAATGAAATGTATTTTTATGCAATTTCATCACTATGTGTATGTACATAAACCTAGATGGTGTAGCTTAACACATATCTGGCTTTCATGCTTCAGATTATTGCTTCTAGTCTACAAACCTGTATAACATGCTACTATACAAAAAACCAGGGTGCGGTGGTACATGCCTGTAATCCCAGCAACTCGTGAGGCTGAGGCAGGAGGATGGCGAGTTCAAAGCCAACCTCAGCAATTTAGTGAGGTGCTAAGCAACTCAGTGAGACCCTGTCTCTAAATAAAATACAAAAAAGAGCTGGGGATGTGGCTCAGTGGTTAAGTGGCCCTGGGTTCAATCCCTTGTACCAAAAAAAAAAAAAATAGACAATTATAACATAATGGTAAGTGTTTGTGCATCTAAACACATCTAAACATAGAAAAGGTACAGTAAAATACTAGTAAAAAAAACTTCAGCTTTATCTTAATTTTATGAAACCACTATCCAATACACAATCAATTTTAGCCAAAATGTCATTATACATCACAAAATGTATTTAGTTTATATTTTCCACCAACTTCTAAAATTTCCTTAAGGGATCATACTGCTGAGCACTGTGACTCTTCGAAACTATTTGTCCTCATCTAGATTTATGTTACCATAAATGACATGAACAGAGGCAACAGCTTGCTGTTGTTTTTGCTGTTTTTAAGGAAATGAATGATGCATGAATACACTATCTCAAAATGACCACAAGAGTGTGTGGTATGTACAAGCTTTGCATCAAGGCCTAGCCACACACTGCTAGCAGGCAGAAACAGGACAACTTCTCTGACAATACTCAACAAAGGTCTTAACAACTTCAAACACACAGCCTTTCAATATTAGAGGTGTCAATTTTAGAGCTCTCATTTAGGACAGTATGCAAGAAGAGGTTATCCCAGTTATTTTTACATAGCTAAGATGCCTGAATCAACCTAATGCCCCACAAGTGACCAGATGCAATAAACTCGCTGTGTCCCAAGGCCTTGTAGAACACCTGAGACATACTAAGAATTCAGTAAACGAATTTATGACTGAGTGAAACACAATGCATCTATGAAGATATTTTCAAAGAATATTCAGTGTCAGGAGCAAATATTCACTCATACTGTTCAGAGGGGAAAAAAGATATAAAACAATATATACAGCATGAGTCTACTTTTAAAAAACAGTAAAAAGATTTTTAAAATATATACTAATGTTGACAGAGGTCAACTATGATTTGTCTTTGAGAGCTTTTTCTTATTAACATTATTCCTATTTTCAGGGGTTTATTTTTTTCCTTTTCTTTAAAAAAAATTTGTTTCTATCATGTTTCTTCTGAATGCATTGACCATTCCCACCAAGATAGTGAATAGACAAAAGACCAAAGGAAGCTATCACTCTTGGCTCCTGTTTGAAACCAATAGCTACCGCAAACATGTGTCTTGATTCAGAACCAATTATTTTCAAGGTTTTTAAAATAATAGTCATATTTAAACAATAATCATATTTAAATATATAATATTTAAACAGATATTGTATTTGAACAAATCATTTTAAACAATAAGCATAATCTAAATTTTAGTTAGAAAAAGGAAACAAACTTTTTTTAAAGACTACTCTGGGAATTATTAAATCATATCTTGAATGAACAAATGATCTATATTTCAAAATCAGCTAAGCTATAATTTGTTTAAAATCAATTCAATTGTATCTGTTTGTATAACTCCATTCACACACAGAACCTTCAGGAAACATGCCTTATAGATACTAATTCTCAGGGATTTACCACACCAGTTGTCTGGTGTGGTAAGAATATATTGGTACCATGTTTTAAAGGTTCTGAAAGAAGCCCATCAATTTTCAAAACACCTTACATAATGAAGAAAATGAAAACATTTTCTGGGTTTTCCCATTTATAAAATAAACATCTACTCACTCATATTGATCTAAGTTGTTTGATTTCTTTCCTGTTACATAATTACTGGGGATATATCCTTCACTCCTAGAAATAAGAAAAACACTGTGGGTAAACAGATATTACTTTATTGAGAGGTTATTTAAAGAAAGGAAGATAAAAGACGTTCTAAGATAAAGCATATTGCCCAAAGCTCCTAAGAAAGATAAGCTCACTGTCAGTAATTCAGGATATCTGTATCATTTGACACATTACAAAGTACTACCACGTTTGATCCTCACACGAGTTCTGAGGCAGGCAGGCATTACTGTCCCCATTTTCTGGTGGGAAAAGCAAGGCTTAGAAAGATTCAGATATGTTCCCAAGGTCCCAAAGCCAGCCAGCAACTAGACCAGAGCTGAAACTCTAGACTTATGGTTCAATGTAGAGATCTCCAGAATTCACAATTTCTTGGGATTTTTTTTTCCTCCACATTTTTAATTGATGTATTATAATTGCATATAATGTTGGGATTTGTTGTTACATATTTATACATGCTCTTGGGATGTTTTAAAGAAACGAGAATATTCACAAAACCAAAAGTGCTAAATAAAGGCACACACCACTCTAACAACTTGACAGTACTTATAATATTGCTTCACTGAGGTACTTGTTAAAAAGGCAAATTCCTTAGTATGAGCAAGGCCCTGAGTTCTATTCTCAGCCCCACAAAAAGAAAAAAGGCAAATTCTTGAATCACACCCCAAGACAGGAATTAAGAAGGCCTACGTACTCTAAAAGCCTAGGAAAAACACACCAGGAAGATTGGTAAATCAAGATGGTAAAATGTTGGTAATTTTTTAAGTTAAGTAATTTTATTATATGTTTTTGTAGATGTTTGGAAATTTCTACAATACAGGTTGAATATATCTTATCTGAAATTCTTGGGACCAAAAGTGTTCCAGAGTTTTCTGAATTTTAGAATATTTACATAGACTCTACCAGTTAAGCATCCCTAAACTTATCATCTGAAACCCAGTACTCCAAAACCCAAAACTTTCAGAATATCAACAAAGTACTTTGGATTTAGGTTTTTGGATTAATGTTGCTTCAACTGCATAAAATTATGAATAAAATATCTGGTAAAGAGGAGCAGGAACTTCTTATAAACACAAAAAGTTAAGATTCCCAAGAAGGTAATAATGCTCAACAAACCAGCACCCAGGTGACCAGAAGTGCCAAGAGCTGAATAAAAGAGGGGACCCTGCCTCACCCAGAGGCTACCACTGTTCCCAAAAATGAACTGAGGAACAGAGAGAGGAACTGGGGATGGGTCAAGGAGGTGAGAGCAGGTGGAAGAGAAAGTATTTTCTCAGGATAGAAGACCCCTGTTCTTATCCACTGGAACTCATAATGTAAATGCATAGTATATCAGAGGTAAACACAGGATATAGTTCACTTAATGAAGCCCAAGAGAGACTCATCCTCTGTGTTTAACCGTATCTACCTATATATTTAAAATAAGGTTAAAAGAATTGTTCCACTTAAATCCTACGTTATCTGGTGCAAATAATGCTGGGGTTTTTTTGTTTGAGTTTTGAGATGGGGTCTCACTATGTTGCCCAGGCTGGTCTTAAACTCCTAGGCTCAAGTAATGCTCCTGACTCAGCCTTATTAACACTGGGACTACAGATGTATGCCATCATGCCTGACAATACTTGCTGTTTATTTCCTGTATGCATGTATGTATGGTTGTGTGTGTGTGTATATATATATAATATATATTTATTTATTTTATACATATACATATATATACATACATATATATAAGTACTCTCCCTTCCTATTTCTCTTTCTGATGAAGAGAGGGAGAGAGAAAGACAATTTCAAGTGACAAGAGGCTCCATTATATCATGTCTGTATATATGTACACATGTACACATAGAGAAATTCTAAGAAATTTATGATAGATAATGCCTTAGAAAGACCTAAGATTACCTACTTAGATAATCTTAAGGATTATATATAACTATTTCTCCTTAGGTCAAAATAGTCAAATAAAACATATGGTGGATGAGAAAGAGATGAGTATAATCTCTTCCAACCTCTGAGAAGAAGTGATTGATCAGTTTGCATTTATTGAGTGACTACTAAGAATACACAGTGGTACTACAAAGTAATAATGTATACTTTGACTTCTGGCAAACTATAACCTCATTACATGACAGAGCACATATACTTTACTCAATACTTCACTCCTACCCACTCACTGCATGCAAGGGCCAGGGAGAGAATGCTTACCCATATTTATCTCTTGCTCTCCACCAGTGGACATCATTCTTTTCCAATATGATATACTCTTGACCTCGCTCTAATCTGAGGTCATGCGCTTCTGTTGCTTGGAAATCATACATTGCAACGACTATTTCTTCACTACTATCTTCTTCAGGAGGAATTGGTGGGGGAGGCCTTCTCTGAGCAAACAAGATAACATGTGAAAGTTTAGTCTTCTATCTGAAACTGATCTTGAAATAAAACAGTAAAACACTGAAGGATTCACACATTACCAAAGAATAAGGCAGAGCCCTCTAATCGAATGTGTCACCTGATAGCAACCAGAGAACCCTCCAATCTTAGATGCAGTAGATGCTACCACATCTCTTATGGGTTTTCAGAATACAGAACAAGAGCAAAAACCATCTTGAAACATGGAAACAATTTTTATGTGTCAGGAATAGTTTTCCAGGGAGAGGCAGGGGTAATACGTGAATAGAGACCAGGAGAACTAAAGGGAGACCCATCACTGAAATGGCCTGCAGTGGGGAAAGCCCACCATGGAGTCTGTTAACAGGTCTCCTCCCATTCAAAGGGATTTGCACTTCTTTATGCCCACACTGCTCAAGGCACATGCTTAGGATCTAACAGTTTTTCTCTTTTGTTCTTAATATTGCTTCCATGAAATACAGCATAGTAACTCCCATGTTACCAGTGAGGCAACAATGGTTTACACAGTCCCTCCAAAGTCACTCATATCAGATTCATATCAGCTCAGTTCAGGACTAGGTCCAAAGCTTTTCCACCATATCCCAGTCTTCAAATATATGACTAAATCACTAAAATCACTCATGGATCATACTGGAGGTTCCTTGTTTTGTTGCAGGTTTTGTTTGTTTGGTTTGGTTTGGTTTGATTGTTTGTTTTTTTTAACCAGGGATTGAACCCATGAACCCAGGGAAACTTAACCCCTGAGCCACATCCCCCAGCCTTTAAATTTTTTTTTTTTTTTTGAGACAGGGTCTCACTAAGTTGCTTAGGCCTTGCTAAATTGCTGGGGCTGGCCTTGAACTTGCGATCTTCCTACCTCAGCTTCCTGAGTTGCTGGGATTACAGGTGTGCGCCACTGCACCCGGCTGTCATATTGTATTCTTGAGACCAAAATTTTCTTTTAAAAAAGTCCCACACTTCTGATACAACTCTTTCAGCCCAGCTACAGACAAAATGCCAGATAAGAACAGGACTCCCAGTGATAAAATCTATACAATTAAATTGATATTATTTCACATCAAGGACAATTCAAATAAGTCATAACCTATCTGCTTCTAAGATGGTCGTGGGGGAAAACCACATCACAAAACTAATATTTTTACTTATTTTAATATTTTAAAACTCACTTTATTTATTGTTAATATTCATTTTAATATTTTATTCATATTAAACATAATTAATAAGCTGCAAATCCCTCTAAAACCTAAGGACAGAAAGGCTGAAAATTTAGATGTAACTGCCCAATGCAAGAGATCACCTACCTTTTTCGTTTCTGGGGCTGGAGGTAGTGCTTTTCTTACACCTGAAAATGCCAACAACAAATATAGGTCAAAATGCTGTGTAGCAATGATCGATAAAGATATTGGTGGCTTCAAGGAAAACAGAACACACAGGCAAGGGACCTGTCCGCCCGACTAAGGGGGTGTTGCCAGTACCTCTGCCTCTGTGTCCCCACCACTGTTAAACTGGGTTCTCCATAATGTATATTCAATTTAAAAATAAACTGAATTACACTAGTCCCCCATATCTGTCGTTTCACTTTCCACAGTTTCAGTTATTATGAGTCAACCACAATACGGAATATTAAATGGAAAATTCCAGAGATAAACAACTCTTAAATCGAACCTTTCTCTGAGGAGTATGATAAAATCTCAGTCCCCACTCAGTCCCTCCCAGGACATGAATCACCCCTTTGTCCAGCACATCCAGGCTGCATGCACTCCCAGCCCCGTTAATCACTGAGCAGCCTCAGTTGGTGATGTCATGGGGCTTATGTTGAACTAACCCTTACTTTACTTAATAATGGCCTCAAAGTGCTACAGCGGTGATGAGTGATGCTGGCGATTTGGATATGCCAAAGAGAGGCCGTAAAGGGCTTCCTTTAAGAAAAAGCTGAAATTTCTTGAGTTAGAAGAAAAAAAAATTGTATGCTGAGGTTACTAAGATCCACAATTCAATAAGATACTTTGAGAGAGAGACCACATTTACATAACTTTTATTACACTAAATTGTTCAATTTTATGATGGTGGTTGGGAACCTCTTACTGTGACTCATCTATTAATTAAACTTTATCCTAAGTGTGTATGTATAGAAAAAAATCATAGTATATGTAAGGTTTGATACTATCCATGATTTCAGGCATCCACCAGAGGTCTTGGAAATATCCCGGTGGATAAGAGGGAGTGTTGTAATGACAACACTATGAAATGAAGAAGGTCTGTCAGTCTGTCCCTTCCTCTGCCAGAGCTCTGCTGGCACATGACTATCCAGCTACACAGATGAGATGAAATTCTAATCAAAGAGCTCTGTGGACAAAGGGGGTGTACCAATTTTAGATCTGGTCCCTAAAAGGTCTTCCCACAAGCATCCTTGGCCTCTTTACCCCTTTCTGATACCAGGAAGAGAGAGAGCACTGGAACTGGAACAACCCCAGGAACTACCTGCGGAACCACCTGCCAGCCCTGGACCAGCACCTACCTTGGGATGACACCATGAAACCGAGATGAACTTCTAATTTAAGTCACTGCAACTTCCAGGTCTCTCTTCCTCACCCCCCCACTCCCGCCTCTGTCTCCCTCTTTTAATTGGCTCTTCTTAGTTGTACATGACAATCAAATCCATTTTTATAAAATTATATAAGCATGAGATATATATTTTCTAATAAGGACCTCATTCTTGTAGGTGGGCACAATGGTGGGATTCACTTAGGCATTTTCATAATATGTACCCTGGAAAATTATGTTAGATTTATTCTACTGTCTTTCCTATTCTGCTCCCCCACTCCCTTCCTTTTGTTCCTCTTTTCCTAATCTACTGAACTTCTCTTATTCTCCTCCCCCACTTTATTGTGGTTGAGCTTCCACATATCAGCAAAGACATTTGACCTTTGGTTTTGGGGGATTGGCTTATTTCACTTAGCATGATAGTCTCCAGTTCCATCCATTTACCAGCAAATGTCATAAAGTCATTCTTCTTTATGGCTGAGTAAAATCCATTGTGTATATATACCACAATTTATTTATCCACTCATCTGTTGAAGGGCACCCAGGTTGGTTTCATAGCTTAGTTACTGTGAATTGTCTCCTATAAACATTGATGTGGCTGTGTCACTATCGTATGCTGATATTAAGTGTATGGATATATGCCAAGGAGCAGGATAACTGGGTCAAATGGTGGTTCCATTCCTTGTTTTTTGAGGAATCTCCATACTGCTTTCCAGAGGGGTTACACCAATTTGCAGACCCACCAGCAATGTATGAGTGTATCTTTTTCCACCCCATCCTTACCAATATTAAATTGTTACTTGCATTCTTGATAATTGCTATTCTGACTAGCAAGAGATGAAATCTCAGTGTAGTCTTAATTTGCATTTCTCTAATTGCTAAAGAGGTTGAACATTTTTTCAAATATTTGTTGTTTACTCATACCTATTCCTGTGAGAAGGGTCTGTTCAGCTCTTTTGCCCATTTGCTGATTGGGTTTTTTTGGTTTTCTGGTATTAAGCTTTTTAAGTTCTTTGTATATTCTGGAAATTAACACCCTATTTGAAGTGCGGATGTCAAAAATTTTCTCCCATTCTGAAGGCTATCTTCACGTTCTTGATTGATTCTTTTGCTGTGAAGGGACTTTTTAGCTGATACCATCCCATTTATCGTTTTATTTTAACAGCAGCTTACACTGTGCACTAATACTAAACCTTAAGAATTGAAAAATTAGGAAATAATAACAGACTTGGAAAATTGGACCTTCTCTTTAATGTGCTAAATCAATGTCAGGATACCCCAAGACAATCAGGTGGAGAGACTTACAGAATCAAGGCCAGTCTTTTGCATAAGCCAACATCCCTACCAAATAGCCATTCTGCTTATATCTAAAAGCTTGATGGGTTCTGATTGATATGGCAAGCACCATGTATGGTGCCAGCAGGAAAACAGAAGCACAATACCCACTGTCCTATCACACTAGCAATTTTGAGTCCTTGTGTATTTTTAACTTATGACTAAAGGCCTCTCATTTTCAGGATATAAGGTGTCAAGATTAACCCTCGACATTTTTATTCATCTGAACATTTACATGTGAGTAGCGCTGTGACAGTTAATCATTCTGACAGACTGTGAAGCCATTACTAAAGTCCATAACTCAAAGCCCCATCAAAATGAGAATGATACTAACTTAGCTGCAGATACACTGCTACACGAGGTTTCTAGCAACACATCTGGGAAGAGTTTACTTGCTGACAAATACATAAACATTAATGAAGAAAAGCTGTTGATGGTGACATATTAGGCTCATGACTTGGAAACAGATTACAGGCTCCCTGTAAGGGACCTTTGCTTTTGATTCCATGAAAAGGTCCTACTGCTAACTTAACACATTATTCTAATTATTCTTATAAAACACACCTACATATTTGCATTTTCTAGAAAGTGTGATGAACTTAATCCAAATCAAACTCATGCCACCTTACCAATGATATGCCCATTTTGAGCACAATATAATTATAGAATAAAATGAATACTTACTACTCTCAAAAAGATTATATTTTTCACATCCAGGTGCTAGTTTTTCAGTTTGTCTGCAACACTGATAACTTCCATCTGCCCAGAATTTTGGATGATATTTAATCATAATATTATTGTTGTTCTTTATTTCTGTAATTCACAGACACATTAATGATTAGTGAAATAAAACAGACTACAGAATGTTTGCTAAGTAACATTGCCAATCATTTCTTGGATACCATGTTGATTATGAAAACACCCTCATAACATCATGCGACCCAGCATTCAGAAAAGCCAGATGCTTCTCTTTCACTTCCTTTTTTTTTTTTGAATGAAACATCCTTGTGAGTTTGTGAGCAGAAGTGACTGATACTACTCCATGATGAATAAAAGCAAAAGTTAGCCCACTACCACTTTGCACTTTGCTCCAAAGGACAAGTGATGAGGATAGTGCAACCATTTAACCTTTAAACACTTGGTGTGTGTGTCAATCCATCCACATCAAATATCAACTACATAAGGCATTTCTTAGAAAATACTAAATCCTGTTATCATAAAAGCCCATTCTTTATCTTCAAATACATCACACATTAAATATCACTTTTCTTAGAAACTATGTACCACTAGAAAGAATCAGATTTTTAAAATCTGATTCCATCTTCTGGTTTTCACTTGCTGTAGCTGACTGGCCTTGGAGAAATATGTAGTGTCAGTTAAGAGATTAGAATTGCAAAATATATTGGATGTATTTCTGTTTTAGTCATAATGACAGGTTCTAAAATGATGCGCAGATTAATATTTTATTACATGAGTTTTACCTTCTTTTAACTTCTTCACCCATCGGTCCCTGCTTTGTGCACTAGGTGCAAAAATGTAAAGTGTGTTAGCATCATGAACAACCTAAAATAAAATAAAAAATGAAATCAGTGATACATATTTAAACACAGCACTTCTGTCAGAGTCCTTGGAACCATGGGCACCAATAAATGAGTTTCAAGTGACAGAATGAAATTATTTACTTCAGTCACTTGGAAGGCTAAGGCAGGAGGATTACAAGTCAAAGTCAGCCTCAGCAACTTAGCAAGACCCTGTGTCAAAAATAAAAATAATAAAATAAAAACAAGTCATTTAAGCCAGGTTTGGTGGTGCATGCCTGTAATCAAAGCAGCTCTGGAGGCTGAGACAGGAGGATCATGAGTTCAAAGCCAATCTCAGCAACGGCAAGGCACTGAGCGACTCAGTGAGACCCTGTCTCTAAATAAAAAATACAAAATAGGGCTGGGGATGTGGTTCAGTGGTCAAGTGCCCCTGAGTTCAATTCCTAGTACCAAAAAAAAAAAAAAAAACAGTCATTTACCTCAGATCCAAAGAACCTAAACTCCTTTCTCATAAAAGCACATTTATTTCTTTATTTCTACAACAAATGGGGCACACATTTTGCAAAAGACTAATTTTTTATAAAAAAAAACATGCAGAGATCAAGATGTTTCATTAATCTGTTATTTCTTTCAATTTAATTAAGATTCTTTAGATAAATTTGATGGAACAGGATTATTACTCTAATCCAATATTTTTATAAATAATATTTTAGATAAGTTGACTACTCCTTCAGATTCACTCCTAGAGTTTCCTTCTGTCACTATCAAAAATTGTGGTATCCAACTTAATTAGTACTGGCAATCTTGGCTCTCAGCTAGATGCTCTATAGATACTAACTCAATTTGTCCTCCCATCAAACTATTTCCATTACAGAAGAGGAAAATATGGTTATCTACAGGCCTTCCAACCTCGAAAAACTTCAGGAGGCACTGAAATGGTGTCTCCTAATGTGTGCCACCTAACCTGCCCATTGTAATTTGGCTGGTCATGTAGAAAGCTAGGATTTTGACTCCAATAGCCAAGCTTTTAACCATAGCACCTCTTTCAGAGGTAGGCTGTCTGGCAATTAGTATTTTTGTTGTTGTTGTTGTTGTTGTTATAGGTAAACATAATACTTTTTATTTCATTTATTTATTTATTTATGTGGTGCTGCTGAGGATTGAACCCAGTGCCTCACACATGCTAGGCAAGTGCTCTGCCACTGAGCTACAGCCCCAGCCCCATAAATAGTCTTATTTTTATACTTTTAATATTAATAATAAAGTAAGGCTGGATATTAGTCCAGGAATTTCTTCACTTTACCCCTAATGAACAATCACAAAGCTGGAAAATCGCTGACTGACCCCAAAGTAATATGAGGCTAGAACCCTCCCTTTACTACATCAACACCCATTGATAAATGGCTGTTCTTGACCCTGGTCAGTAAAAATTAGGACCATTTCATTAAAATGGTCCTTTCTTATTCATCTTAGTGAAATTAATGCACTCTGACAGCATGTGAACACCATGGGACAAATAGTTGTGGAATATTCTTTGGTATGACTAAGACACAAAAATGAATCAAACATGAAGGCTAATTCCAAGACATGTCTAGAAAACCTTATTATAAGGCAGAACATGAGCAGGCCACAATGGTGCACACCTGTAATCCCAGTGGCTGAGGAGGCTGAGACAGGGGGATTGGAAGTTTGAGGCCAACCTCAGCAATTTAGCAAGACCCTATCTCAAAATAAAACACAAAAAGTGACTTGGGATGTGGCTCTGTGATAAAGCATTTGGGATTCAATCCCCAGTACCATAAAGAGAAAAGAGAAAGAAAAAAAATAAGTAAAGGTGAGAAATGATAACAGAAAGATAAAGTACAGAGGGAGATGCTAGAAAGATGTTTCCTTATTTGCTACATATTTTTCACACCTAACCCAGATTTGCCCAGACAACCTACAGTACAAAAAGAATGAGATTAAAATGCAGCAGTGAAATTATTCTGAATTCTCACTGATGTGTCTGGAAAGAAGTACAAAGACTTTGGAACTTCCAGAATCCTGTGGGATATTATAAGAATAATTTATTTTATTATAATGACTTACTTTACGGAGTCACTACATGGGGTTAAGTACTTTATATACACTTCCTTGTTTTATCCATAGAGCAACGCAGGTCTTTATAAGTGTTAGAATTTTCATTTTCCAGATGAGAAAACCAAAGTGGCTGAGGTTAAGTCATATGAATAAGATCTAACTCCCAATAGTGGTTTGAATCTGGAATGTTCCCCAAAGCTCATGTGTTGAAAGAGATAGTCCCCAACGCAGCAAAGTTCAGGGGTGGGGCTTTTAGGCAATGATTGGACCATGGAGGCTCTCACCTTATCAGTGGATTAATCCATCTGATGGTTGGATGGACTACTGAGAGGCGGGACCTAGTTGGAGGAAGTAGGTTGCTGGAAACATGCCCTCAAAGATGTTATCTTCTTCCCAGTCTCTTCTCTGCTCCTCTCCTCCTCTCTCTCTCCCCATCTACTTCCCAGCTGCCATGAGATAAGTAGCTTTCCTGAGCCACACCCTCTGTCACAGTGCTCTGCCTCATTTCAGGCCCAGGGCAATGAAGTTGGCCAACATGGACAGCAACTTCTTAAACGGTGAGCCAAAGTAAGCTTTTCCTCCTCCAAGTTGTTCTTGTCAGGCATTTTGGTCACAGCAGCCAAAAACCAACTTACACACTCTCAGATATTTTTCTTATTCATATATTTTCTCCCAAACACTTCAAATGGCCCCTTGATAGTTCCCTCCTAAAGTCTGTCTTTCCAGGCTCCATGCAGACTAACTTCTTCACAAAACTGAGCTCATATTGTACCATGAGCTTTGTAAGTTCATTAAAGACCAGCTAATCCCAGCTGGGGTTGTAGCTCAGTGGTAGAGCACTTGCTTAGCACACTTGAGGCACTGGGTTCAATCCACAACACTACATAAAAATAAATAAATAAAATAAAAGGTATTGTGTTCATCTACAAGTAAATAAATAAAAAATAAACTAAAAGACCAGCTAATCCAAGTAAAGTTAATCCAAATTTAAAAGAGTTCCGATAATTAAAACTAGCTTGATGTATTACCTCGCTCCCTTAGGGCATTTATATTTGTATAAGAAATTTCTAGAAATACCACCCTAAACCCAAATAATAAGTATCTAATTTGGGCATCTCTGATAGATTGACAGGAAGGAGAGATATTTAGGGGCCTGAGTCCTCCCTTCATCAAAGCCCAGATCAAACATCGGGTCCATCTTCCATGTCATCCTTGTGGACAGCACCTGTGGCAGGGTGAGAACTAGGTTTCTCAGGTGCCTCAAGACTTCTGGTGAGTCATTGTACAGTAGCAGAGGTTGTCAGGAAGCAAGAGCTTGGCCACCTTCCCTTGCTGAAGGGCAGAAACCATTTCAACTGGGAGGAAATACTCATAGTACCTTGACAGTTATCCTCCCTCCCATTTAAATCTACATTCCATTCAACAGACTTTTAACTACAGTGTAGTGCAGGAGAAACAGCACAGACGTAGCAGGTAGATCTGGGTTTAAAACCCGGGAAGGACATGCCACCTCCTGGGGGAACCCTCAAATGCCACCAGAAAGCACAAGCTGTTTCCTCTGTCCTTCCTTGGGCTAGAATATGCGGAGAGGAAGCAACTTCCTTTCTTCTCCTGGTGTCTTTTGAAAATGTCCACTTCTTCTTTTTTTATTTTTCCCCCATTTGGACTTTGTAGAAAATTTCACTATCAAGATGTGAAACTAGAATCTCCACTTCCTTAGTTATGCTTAAGTTACAAGAGGATTTCTTTTAACTTTCAAATCCACTTGGTTTAAATTACATAGTCAGAGCTCAAGTTTACCTCTTCTAAATTGATTTTAAGATTTTTTTAAACGGCTCTTATGTCTATTCATCTCAACTACTGAAAATGGCTCAAGGATGGAATACTGTTCTATTTTTTCCTGTTTTTTTTTTTAATCATCCTTCTTAAAATGAATCCAAAGCTTGCAGAATAGATCTCTTTTCTTTTAGAAATACTCTAATTATCAAAAATCCTAATTCTTAGTCCAGAATCATGAGAACCATTGATCCCCATTGCCTGCCACCTCCCCCCAGAATGTCTAAGAGCCATCAGAAGTGTGGCAGGGAGGGTTCTTCACCAAATTTCAAACGAAATTACACAAATACATAATTATAGATGCATTTGACATATTTACCATGAAGAAGATTTAAATTGGCCTTATTCTAGATCGGGGCGGGGGGGCAGGTGTAGTAATAACAGCAGCAATAGCAAGAAGGTACCAATAACAATAATAATAAAAGCAACTAACATATTGCTCTTACTACATGTCTCAAGCTATTTCTTCATGAACCCTCACGACAACCCTGTCACATGACTGCTATCGTTAGCATTTTCATTTAGAACAGGAAACAGATATAGAAAGGTGAAGTGACTCACAGAAGGTCACAGAGGCAGTAAGTGGTAAATCTAGCAGCGTAGCTTCAGTGTCACCTCCTTCAGCACCTAACTCTCCTCCAGGCCCTTCACTCAGAGAAATAAAATAAGGAGTGGAAAAATGGAAATGTAGCCCTTTCTCCTTTAGTGTTCTTGGTTGAAAATAATCCAGATAGAATTTTAAAGCTTGGATGTTTTAGCTCACTGCATCCAGGTAATATTGATCTCCAAGTTGGAAAATGTTTTCAAAAAACCTTTTTTTAAATAAAATTTTGTTTTGTTTTGTTAAAAAAAAAAAGCAAACAAAATTCCACTGTAATATTATCTTGAAAGAAATTTTTTTTCAGTGTGCCCCTCAGGTCATGGTGAGACCATAGCCATGAATAAAAGATGACTTCCATGATAGATGTACATTGCTCAAAAGGAGGCATGGAAATGGTCCCAACCACAGAAGGGATTGGTTAGGGGCTGGACAGGGTCCTGTGCTGTCTGCAGTAAACTCTCGAATACCAATATCCAACTCCTGAATTCTCAAGGCACGTGTACACTAACCTCCTGCCATGGATGTGGAGTGGCCTAAGATTGGTACCCATCCTGCTTGAGAGCAAGAAGATGTATATGCACATGGCTGGTTTTTAATTCACAAAGTGGCCCTGGATGAGCCATTTAACATCTCAGAGGCTTATTCCCCTCAGTCATAAGCAAGAAGAGTATGATATTTACCTCCCTTGTGTTCAGGATCATTGTAAGGAGAAAATAGGAAATACTATGATCATCCCTTAAAAATACAGTTCAATTAACATATAATGCTAATACTCTATTTCCCACCAAAAGCAGCCTTTGCATCTCATTTCTGATTAACAGTAACTCTTATCACTTCCCAGCTTCTCAAATTCAGAGAGAAAACTTCATCATAGTTTGTTCAGCCCTGATGATAAATTTAAACACTAGTAGATAAGACCTGAGGTTTAGAGACTCAGGACCCCTGGTAGAATCTAACAACCAAAACAGAAGAAGATAATATTTCAACAATGATATGAGTAGTCCATGAAGAAAAGCAATTACTATTAAAGTGGCAAATGAACCTAAAAAATCAGCCATCAAACTAGTGACAAACAGGAAAACTGGTGACAGAAAGCCCAGAGTCGTACTATTGCAAAAATATACCAGCTTACCTGAAATGGATACTTATTTTGACAGGGAATGACACCGTCATCATTCTTAACAATTTCCACACACTTGATTTTTGAAATATCAATAAACCCCTTTCTGTATTTTTTCTGTTGAAAGAAAAAAAAGGGAAAAGCATTATAATCATAAGATATAAGAAAAACGTTTTAATGGTCATATTTGCTGATGAAATTACCGATTCAAAATATTGCAATGTCCTTGATAATGAACTAAGTCATATCTCCCTTTAACTCTTAAAAAAGTATTCAACACTGAATAAAGAAGTTAAAGATGACCTTAGAAGATGGAAAGACCTCTACGTTCTTGGATAGGCAGAATTAATATTGTCAAAACACCCACACTAACGAAATCATTATACAGATTCAATGCAATTCCCATCAAAATTTCAATGGCATTCTTCACAGAACTAATAAAAACAGTTCTAAAATTCATTTGGAAAATCAAGAGACCCAGAGCATTCCTGAGCAAAAGGAGCAATGCTGGAGGCATCACAATAAGGGACCTCAAATTATACTACAGAGCTATCATTACAAAAACAGCATGGTATTGCCACCAGAACAGACATGGTAGAATAGACCAGAGGAATAGAATTAAAGACACAGAAACACACCCACATAAATACAGTTATCTGATACTAGACAAGGATGCCAAAAACATGCTGGAGAAAAGGCAACCTTTTAACAAGAAATGCTGGGAACACTAGATATCCATATGTAAAAGAGTAAAACTTAACCCCTATCTCTCACCCTGCACAAATTCAACTCCACATGAATCAAAGACCTAGAAATTAGACCAGAAGCACTGCAACTGTTTGAAGAAAATGTAGGCCCACCACTCCAACAATGTCTGCTGAGGAACCGATTTCCTCAACAAGATTCTTAAAGCTCAAAATCAGTAAGTGGGATGACATCAAGCTAAAAAGCTTCTGCACAGCAAAGAAGAAACAATTAACAACGTGAAGAGAGGGTTTGTAGTTCAGTGGTAGAGCACTTGCCTAGTATGTGTGAGGCACGGGGTTCAATTCTCAGCACTGCATATAAATAAATTCATTTAATACAGAAAAAAATGATGTGAAGAGAGACAATACAGAATAATAGATCTTTGTCACTTATTCCTCAGGGCATTAATATCCAGAATATAAGAAGAACTCAAAAAGCAAATAACCCAATTAATAATGAGCAAAAGAATTAAAAAGACACTTCTCAAAAGAGAAATACAAAGGACCCACAAATATATGAAAAAATGTTCACTATCTCTAGCAATCAGTGAAATGCAAGTCAAAACTACATGGAGATTTCATCTCTAGTCAGAATGGAAATTATAAAAAATACAAATAATAATAAGTATTGGGGAAATACGGGGGAAAGGGTATAGTCATACATTGTTGGTGGGTCTACAAATTAGTGCAACCACTCTAAAAAGCAGTATAGAGCTTCCTCAAAAAACTAGGAATAGGACCACCATATGACCCTATCTCACTCCCCAGTATATATCCAATCAGCATACTGTAGGAATGCAGCCACATTCATGCTTATAGCCACATAATTCACAATAGCCAAGGTATGGAACCAACCTAGGTGCCCTTCAACAGGTGAATGGATGAAGAAAATGTGGTATATAAACACAATGAAATATTAGCCATAAAGAAGAATAAAATTAAGGCATTTGCCAGTAAATGGAAGGAACTGAAGACTATCATGTTAAATGAAATAAGCCAGACCCCAAAGGTCAAAAGTCAAAAGTTTTCTCTGATATGTGGAAGCCAGTCCAAAATAAGGGGGTGGTGGGGAGAGAAAGGAAAGATCAGTGGAGTAAAAGAAGGTGATTGAGGAAGAGGGAGGAGGGAAGCAATAAGGGAAGAACAGTGGGCTGAATCTGACCTAAGTTTCCTATGCACATGTATAAATATACCACAGGGAATCTCACCATTATGCACACTCACAAGACCCAGTAAAAAATTGTATAATAGCAGAAAGATCGGTAGAAGAGAGGGAAGGAAACGGGGTGGGGTGGGGGTGATGAGGGGAGGAGGGAAGGGAAAGGGGAAGTACTGGGGACTGAATTTGAGCAAATTATATTCTATGCTTTTATAACTATGAATCCTAATGTTATGTATAACTAAAAGTAACCAATAAAAGACACTGTGATGATTATGATCAAAACCATTAAATCCTTTAATTTCTAAAAGATGAAATTGTTCTGTCATTGCCTCAAAAAACCTCCAGAACAGGGAAATGGACTCCCTTTCACTGCCTTTCCCTCCCAGCACATGCCTTGTTTGATTTCTTCAGCTTCTTGACAGTAGTGTCCCCAAAGAAAAGTATCAAAGGCAAAACCAATCAAAACTCCACTGACGTAATCACAGATGCAAATTCAGCCAGCTGTGTCTCCTCCTCCGGTATAGATGCCTCTAGATGCCTCCCGTAGAGGTGGCACAGGGAGCTCAGCAAGGTGGACCTCAGTGCTCACAGATAGCTCCCCTGGGACTCTAGCGTTGACTGCCCTCCTTTACTTCCCTGTTGGCCTCCCTCCCTGCTCACTGCACATCTGCCTGAAGCAATTAACGAATGGCAGACCAAGAGGCCCCTCCACCATCATCCACACCCTTGAGCATGGTAACGTCACATCTGGGAATTTGTTCCAGGGAGAAATCCAAAAGAACACCAAGTAGTATCTGCGAGGATAATCTGATATCATATACCCATTAAAATGATCATGATTACAATATAGAAATTTTAAAAATTGGCTGAATAACAACGCATCCCACACTAAATTTTGTATAAAGACTAAGGTTACTTCCCCCCTCCCTGTGGTAAATGTTCATATGATAAACAGAAGGAAAAAAAAGAGAAGTAAAATCATTGTTCAATTGGGGCTGACCAGCTATGTCCTGGCCTCAATCACTGAAAACTGTTTCACCTAATTCTGTGAAATTCCTCTATAACCTTTGGGCTCACCACCCCACTCCCAGGGACCCGGTCTGCACCCTCAGTGTCACCACACCTCTTCAGACCTGCCCCACTCTCTGGCCATCAGCAGCTCCCATTGACTGGTCTATCCCAGCTGCCATTTTACCAGGGCATCCTCTCCCTTCCTCCTCCTCCCCCTCCTCCTCCTCCTCCCCCCCTCCTCCTCCTCTTCCGCCCTCTTCCTCTTCCTCCTCCTCCTCCTCCTCCTCCTCCTCCTCCTTCTTCTTCTTCTCTCTCTCTCTCTCTCTCTCTCTCTCTCTCCACACACACACACACACACACACACACACACACACACTAATATCCCACCCCCTGACATTTTTATCAGCTCCTGTTGTGTCCACACTTTTCCCAAGTCCCTCCTCACCTGGCTGCAGAAGTTCACCTGCTCTCTCTACACCTAGCCAGACCTTCACCGCTGCTCTTCAGTCCTTTTATTCATCTTTAGTGGAGAGCACCTGGTGGCCTCAGGGAGACCAGCAGCTCTGTGAGAACTGCAAACCCTTCCTATTCCCCTCAGCTCGGTAGACAGTCTTCCTCCCTGCTCTGTGGAGAAGACAGCAGCCATTCTGAGAGCACCTTCCCAATTTCCTACCCCTGCCGTTCAACAGTCTTCCAAGGTTTTGTCCTTTCTCTTCTCCTTCATCTTGTCTCCAAGAGAAAGTTAAAGGGACACAACAGTTGAGACCCTACAGCTGGCATTTAACAGAAGGACTTCATTCTATTATGCTCACAAAATCCTTGGGAGGTAGGCACCAAGACTGTTCTAATGGATGAGGAAATCACAGCTCAGACAAGCTACACACATTTCCCAAGGACCTCAACTGACCCCAACGCCACTGGACCCTGGGATGCCCCAGCTGCAAGGATGTAAGAGAATGAACGGAGCCAAGTCCAGGAGGGTCAACAGGGATTCTGGGAGTGCCCCAGGATAGGGAGAAGTGCAGCTGCTCTCTTCTAAGGATTGACTTCTGTCTACAGACTTGTTCAACCTCCCCACCCAAACCAAGATCCCTTCTCTGGTCCTGTTAATGCCCTAACTCTTTTTCTCCCTTCCTGAAAGAGAAAAGGATTGCACCCCCAGCTTTCATTTCCTTCCCGCCCACTCTTCCTTAACCACTTGCAATCTGCCTCTCACCTCACAGACTGCTAAAGCTCTTCTCAAAAACAGCGCTAATGACCAAGCCCAACGGTCTTTTCTGAGTTGACATCTGCTTTCTGAGCATCTGAGAGTGCCAACCCTCCCTTCTCCCTTGGTGACCTTGACTTTGGGTCATCCTGGTTTCCCTCCCCTTTTCCCTGGATTTATTGATAACTGTCTGTATCAATGATTGTGTCACAGGGCACAAAAAGACAAGATAGGAAAAGCTCATTTCCTGCACGTGTCATCTTGGAATTGTGCCAGGAGCTTTTAATCCTCACAGTTACCTTGCAAGGCAAGGATTATGATGCTCATGATACAGTTAAATACAAAATTAGATAACTTTTCCTGGTTTTCCTGAGGGAGAGAATAATACAGAAACCATTATGTAATATAGTTGGTGCTATATAGAAAAAAAAGAATTATGATTTACATGTCAGAAAAGGGACGGTAGAGAGAAACATCCTGCAGAACGAACAACATATGAAAAGAAAAAAACACATTCGGGCATGACTTCAGTTTCCTCATCTGTAAAATGGGAATAATACTAGTCCCTATTCCATAGATTTATTATGACAATTAAATGAACTAATACTGCAAAGCACTTAAAAGAGGGTCTAAGCCATAATGCAAGACCTGCCAATACTTGCTAACTTAAAAGCAAAAAAAAAAAAAAAAAAAAAAAAAAAGACAAGTGTGACTAAAGTAGGATGGAAAGGTAAGCAGAGAGCCAGCTTGTAAAGAACCTGCTGCATGACACTCAAGGGTCTCCCCAGACAGCGCTACCCACCTGGCTCCTGAGTTCTGACCCAGTTAATGAGTGTAAGAAACTGTCTGAGTGACACTCACCTAAGAACAAGACACACAAGGTCATTGTAGAAACCTTAGAAAACACTAATGGCACAAGGAAGAATCTAATGACCCCTAAGCCCCAGCCCTGAAGGAAATCACTCTTGGCATCATGAGGTTATCCAGACAT